AAAGATCATCTTGGAATGTGCTGTTGGGTCAGCGCTGGGATTCTGGGGTGTTCTGGGTTATATTGGAGTGTTAGCTTGTCTGTGTTTTGTTATAGCCTTTTTAGCCAGGAAATTACCAGACAGTTTTAATGAAGCAAAGTTTATAACTTTCAGCATGCTGATATTTTTTGCAGTGTGGATAACCTTCATCCCAGCCTATGTTAGCACTCCAGGAAAGTATACTGTAGCTGTGCAGGTCTTTGCTATTCTGGCATCAGCGTTCGGTCTCCTGTCCTGTATCTTTGCCCCAAAGTGTTACATTATTTTATTAAGACCTGACAAAAATACAAAAAAACATATGATGGGAAAAGGTGTTAAAAATTTCAAGTAATACTGTATGTAATTAGGAGTTTCTTTTATTATACTGATTTTAATAGATGACTGAATAATGATACAAAATCTATACATATAGTATAATTAATTGTAATAAAGATTAATATATTCTGAACATTGAATGGCTGTGTGTGTATCAATGTATTTATGTTTTGTACAATGCAATTAGCTCTGTGAGACATTCCTAGCATAGGATGCAATGAAACATCTTCATAATTATTAAGAAATAAAATATGTCTATACTCAGCTTGATAATATAATATAAACGTCTGCAAACAAGAGGAGGTTGTTCGGCTTATCACTTGGTTAATTTTGTCTTCCATAGCTTGTTTTTGTCCATTGGAAGCTTCACTTACAATTTTGCAAGATCACTGTATGTGTTTTTATTAAGATTAATAATATGAAAATGCATTTTTTAAATTTAACAAAAAAATAATTTTGTAAGAAAAAAATGGTAATTGATTTCTGATTTCATATTTATACATTGACTATGTGAAGTGCAGGACATTGTTAATGCATGCATATACTCCAGATTAGTATAAAAAGCATGAGTCATGAGAAGTCAGACATTTTCATGAAATTTTCACTCTCTTACACAGTTCACCAACACAAACAGTGCAAGGATTCATTTAGATGACACCAGCAAAATCAACACAGGCTTGAAACAAAACCTCTTTACTCTGGAATTTCATGCTGCACTGTCAAATATGGAGAAATGTTACCATTTTAAGGAGCCGTCCTTTGCTCTTATCAAGAGAGCAACTGTTATAAAAAAACACGAGGATGGTGTCGGTAAATGAGGACCGGCTATTCCTGGTCATTTTATTTATTCAAACAACCTGTTTTCAGTATGGCAGATTGCACCTGTTCCTGTTTCTTTATTAGCCCTATACAATTTCTTGCATTAGGAATGCGTTTTTTCACATACCCCAGCTTTTCTCCATGGAGACACTGACACAGAGACAGGGAGAGAAGCTGGGGGTCAGAGCACAGGGTCTGCCATTGTACAGCACCCCTGGAGCAGTTAGGGTTAAGGGCCTTGCTCAGGGGCCCAACGGAGTAGGATTCCTCTGCCAGCCGCGGGATTTGAACCGGCAACCTTCCAGTCACAGGCGCAGATCCTGAGCCACAGAGCCACCGCTCCGCCCTTACCTGCTCCACTTGACAGCATTCCATGTGCTTCTCTCCTTATTGGAATGGCTTATGTTCATATCAGGAGAATTTTATTGACTTATACTGTATCAAGTCTCTTAAGAATGCAGAACAACTGAAAAGGCAGATGTTAAATGAGAATTTCCTAACTCTTTTCTCCTGCAGCACCCATGTGCTTGACAGTTGTTGTTCTGGTGGAGTAATTAGTCCCTGAGCTTAAAATAAAAATGTTATTAAACTCATAATTTACGTTTTCAAAAAGTATAAAAAATTCAGGTCAAAATGTCAGGCATAAATGCTTTTCAGATCCCTAGAGATCTCACAGTGTTTAAGAACTGGAGATGATTAAAAGTTCTAATTAAGCAAATTGTTTGATCATTGGAGACCAAGAGTGCTGTTGGAATGAAAACAAAAACAGGTGTGAGGTAAAGTTTAACCTTGTGTTAATTTAATAGAGGAATGCATTTATAATCGTACTGCTGATGCTGTTTTTCCCATGATGTGTTTTTTAGAATTTTTTTCCGGCTTTAGTAAAATAATGTAGCATTTTGGGAAAAACAAACATACCAGAAGTCCAAAACTGGAGGACAAAATTGCAAATATTTCTGTTGCAACAGTGTACTTCCCTGGTGAGCTCACATAGGCAGGCACAAACGCTATCCACACTGCAAAGAAAATCAGCATACTGAATGTAATAAATTTTGCCTCGTTGAAGTTATCTGGTAGCTTCCGGGCTAAGAAGGCAAGCAAAAAGCACAGAACTGAGAGAAAACCAATGTACCCAAGAACAAGACAAAAAAACAGAACGGATCCAACATCACACTGCAGAACAATTTTGGAACTTTCATAAGTGAGAGATTTCTTTGGAGAAGGAGGGGCCACAGTCAGCCATACTGTGCAGTTCAGGATTTGAACCGAAGTACAGAGAAAGATGATAATTCTCTGCTGTGAGGGGCCGAACCATTTCATCCTGTTGTTCCCTGGAAGAGTTGCTTTAAATGCAAACAGTACCACAATGGTTTTCCCTAATATACACGAAATACAGAGAACAAATGCAATGCTGAATACACTGTGCCGCAACATGCAAGACCACACTGTGGGCTGTCCTATGAAAGCTAAGGAACAAAGAAAGCACAGCACCAGGGAAAGCAAGATGAGAAAGCTGAGCTCAGAGTTGTTTGCCTTTACAATAGGTGTGTTTCTATAATATACAAAAATGGAGGCTACAGCAATGGTGAAACAAGACCCTAATAATGACACTGCTGACAAGATGATACCCATTGTATCTGCATAGGAAAGGTACTCCACTTCCTTAGGAATGCATTGATCTCTTCTTTTGTTCGACCAAAACTCTGGCTGGCATTTGAAGCATTCTATTGAATCTAGAACAACAAATGCATTAAAATGACTGTTGAGATCTCACATTCAACTACAGGCTTTTACCATAAAGTGCATTCTGTAAGATGTTGTGAGGAGATATCCTTTTATTGCTCACATACCAAAACAGAAAGAAGAACATCTCTTAGTCTAATAGAATCTTTGTGCTGTGTTAGGTGGAGAAAGATTCAACTGCATAAGATGGCTACAACTCTCCATTGTACAAGCAGGCTGAAAATAGAGGGAGGTCTGATACTGTATGTACATAATAAAATAACTTATTAAAACAAAATAGTTTACACAATTGCAGTTTCTAAAAACATGTCTTAAGTAACTTTTATCACCTGTCTGGTTGCTAATCTCCCCGTCTGTACAGAGTATACAGTCAAAGCAGCAAACAGGATATCGAGCCTTGATTCCTTTTCTTGTCCCTGGAGGGCAGCTATTGCTACATACAGATGTTGGAACCTGTCAGAGAGGACATACAAGGACTGTTTGAGTTAGTGACTTACAGTACACTGTACTTGTTCATGACCTTTAATAAAATACATCAAGCAGGGGTTAAAGGGGATCACACCATTTTAAATACTAGATAATGCACCTTAATGCTAGATAATGGCACCTTCTTATAGTAGCTTATAATTGCACATTCTCTTATTGTGTTTCTGACTGTTGTGTGCAGCATATGCTTCTTTAGTGTTCTGAATTTGTGTACTGTATAAAAATGTTATGTTATATATAAATGGAGTACTTAACATACCCAATGAGACTACAGATTTGTAAAGTAAGTGTATTGCAGGACACAATACTGTATCTTGAACATTATTAAACTTGTTTAAAGCAAATGACAATACATTTTGTCATCAGGGCATTTAAATTATGAAACAGAATATAAAATACTCCATCTTGATATTTCATTCTAAATGTCTTACTCTATGCAAATCTAAAAAAGAAAATGGAAACCATTTCCTGGGGAACTGCAATATCCATTAATCAGGTGCTTTGTTAGTGTGTATTCAGTATTAAAGTTTAATATGTTGTGGCTTTTAATCCACTTGGTAAGGGGGTAACCTTCTGGCTTTAGGATGAGGAGACTCGGAATCACAAAAAGAAAGGAGTGAACCCCCAAAAAAGACCGATGTGAAAACAGAGATAGACAGAATGTACAGGTACACTATGGAGATGCGGACATTACTTTAAAAAGAGAACAATAGAAACTGTTGGATGCCTGCTGCCTGTGCCAGGGGCAGGATGCTGGACAGACCCGGGGAAAAGGAGATGGCACCAGCAGCAGCATGGCCAAGAGGGAGGAACCCAGGGC